TGTTATTTGATAGTGGAGAGAACACAGTGTAATGGTAGTTTAGAGTGCTTCCTTTTGTTAGAAAGTGGAAAATTTCAGATTTATGAACACTGAGGGATGAATCAATGAGAAGTAAACAGTAGAAAAATAATAAAAGTAACTTTACTTACTTTAATGAAGGATTCAGAAGCATGAGTTTGTCAGTGAACACAGAGGCCATTAGAGGAAAATTTACTAATGAACAGAGGAATTTACACATATATACTTATAAGACCATATGTACCTTATAAATATATATGTGTATCTTATCTGTACTGGAGAAACATTTTGTGTTCTGAGGCTGTAAAAAAGACATAATACTGAATGGAAAATTAAAGTTGATTTCCTTCTTCTTCAAGATATTTTCTATGGATTTAAGCAAAGTCTGATTATGACAAGGGCACATCAAATTAAGAGTAGAATTAACTCTTCTCCTTCTTTTGTTTTTTTCAAGTTTAGATTGCTCCTGACAGCATTTTATTCTCTTAACATAAAGCATATGTTTTCTCTCTGCAATGAATCAAAAAATAACTACAAATTTAAATCACCACCACCTCACTTTTCAGAACTGTATACATTGTTCCAAGGTCATATTAGAATTTGGGAAAGTAGCAAAAACTTGATCACTGAAAGTGAAGAATATAAATTCTACTGTTTTCATAATAAAACTGGTTGCTTTTAGACAAACACATCAAATAGTTATTTCTTCTCTTTATCTGTTTGAATCCTTTTTGGTAGACAATGCAATTAAAAACAAAAAAAATAATGAAATGAGTCACACTTGTCAAACTATATGATTTGCATTTCTCCTATTTGAAGTGAATTTAGAATTGAGTAAATTATCCTAATAATAATAGATATTTCTCATTTATTTGGGTGTAAATTACTTATCATTGTTAAATTTTTCTTCAGTGTTTCCCATGTTTATCATAAAGTCAGGCCTCTGCTTCCATTGACAAAACTTTCTTCTTTTACTAAAGAGTCAGATTGTGATTTCTTTTTAATAACTGTATATATGGTTGGAAACATTTTCCACAATAGGTAATATGAATCTGTACTGGGGTTTCTAGTCTATTCAATATTTCACCTCTATTCAACTACATCAATAATGGGATTAATGGCCAAACAATTTCAGATCAGAGACAATAAGGCATTTTCCTTTGTGTGTATGTGTGTTCTCTTAGTTCTACTCAGTGATTTCACTTGTGTGACTCTGATGCTTTCCTTAGAATTTCAATAAGATTTCTTCTGGGAGTAATGACATAAACTAAAATTAATAAAGAAGAAATCTCTAGTAATCCCAGCAGTCAGGAAGCTGAGGCAAGAGGATTGAGAGCTTGAGGCTAGCCTAGCCTGAATCCTGTCTCAAAAACAAAATAAACAAAATATCAAACAAAAACCAAAAAATTAAACACAAGATTAAAAACTGCTCCTTTAAAAGGAGAGCTAGGGTACCATTCCAGAATCAGAAAATAGCTTACAATGTACAAATAAATGTTTTCCTAGAAATAGTAATTGCAATTCAAATAAATGGTATCTGAAAAGTTAATGACTATTCTAGGATAAACAAAACAGACTTTAGAGTTTAGGAATCGGCTCTCAGTTAATATTTCTTCTTGTTATAAAATATTTATTAACAATGAATATGGAAGAAACCAGCATCTACATATTTAAGATTAAGTTGATAGAATCCAAATACATATACTATGAGGAAAATAATAATTACAAAATGGTTGACTGAACAATCAAATTCTTAGCTATAGAAATATAGTAAGTTCAGATCTTATCACGTCTTCAATTTATTTCATAGAATTCATCTAAACTTAAATCAACTGGTAGCACAACATACGTAAGTCTTCTCTGCCCACAGAAGACCAAAGGGATGGGATACAAATTAAATAATCAAATATTTGAGCACCAGAATAAAGACTAAGATGCTCAGAAGCAGCAAGTTGAGGTTACACTAGAGAACCAGATGGACATTTGAATCTATAATGTATCATTCAGAGCTCAGGCGGTGATTGATGAAAAACAGGCAATACCAAACATCACACATGTCCAAGTCTGGAAGTCCATTCTTCCCCCCCAGCTTGGCTAACACATTCATGTTTTCAAATGTGTTTTTACAGCTAGAATAATCTTATCCCCCAGAACCCCAACAAACAAAAAGAGAAGGATGAAACCTAAGCACTAGGGGAAATACATGTATTTTTATTTTCTTGTGAGTTCTCATAGAACTTCTGTTACACATAGAATATGTGAACCCATGAGTTCTCTTCACTGGTTCTCATGTGGAGCTGATAGAGGAATAGAAACTTGGGAGGAATGTTTCTAAAGCTATAGATAGCTTCCTTTGCATTTATTTCATTTGTAAATATAACAAAGCATTGGAAGAAAAAAAGTTTCTTAAGTTGTGAGAGTATCAAATATTACCCATCAATCCCTGAATCATGCTATTCAAAGTGCTTAAATCTACACTAAAAATAGAACAAAAAATGTACTCCCAATGCAGCTAAATTAACACCTATGGATGCCTAAAATATGACTGTGGTCTGATTACTTCCTCCACATTTATTCCACACACCCACCGTGCACTTAAAGACTTTAAAAAACAAAACAAAAACAAAAACAAAAACAAAGAAATAAATCAGGCCATTGCCACATTTACAATCTTCTGAGTACTGGGGAAGTTTGGAATCCAGTCCAATGACAAGTGTCCATAGTACAAAGTAAACAATGGCCTTCTCTGGTTCTGAAAATAACCCAATGTGCAAAGCTGACCTTAAAGTTTTATGTGTCCTTGTAGCTTCAGTTCTGGTTTTTGAAAATGTGACACAGAACCAAGGGGAGCACAAGAATAAAGACATATTATAGAGAAGACCCAGGCAAGTTGTCAGGGAAGTAAACATTTTTTAAGCAAATAAAAATCAATGCAGACCCCAAGGCTCCTTTGCCCTGTCACGCAGACACTGAGACCTTCGCATTGTTACAAAATGTTTGTACTTGTATCTCATACATTCATAGTTCTACCTTGCCCTCCCCCAATGATCTCTATTGCAATTTACACTTTCATGTCCATGTGGCCCACTCACACTTTCTTAGCCTTGTGACCCAAACGCTAGGCTTGTTTTCTCATTATATGGTATGGCAGGAATAAAGCAAACACAGTAGTTACTACTTAATCCCACAGATGATAGCTGAGAAGGAATTTCCCATAATGAATCACTAAAGTAAGTTCTATAAAGCTTAAGTTCTATTATCAGTGGTTTTGTCACATTGATTTAAAACAAAGAAACAAACAAACAACTAAAATCTACATAGTTAACACTTCCTTTTAACAATTCTGCCCTCTACAGGATTTTTGTGATTGATTTAGCATCATTGTTAACACGACAAGGAATTAGCTGCTTATGTGATTGATTTCAAACAGAAAGCTAGATGGTAAGTGACAAATTTCCTGTGAGTATCAACTTTCTGTTTCTGAAAGATAGAATCAGATAGTTAAAATTAAATTAATTTCTATACAATAAAGTATCAAGTATTTTCTGATGTAATTAAAACTATTTTGTGTAAATAACATTTACTTTGAAAATAGTTTGTGTCGTTATTCATATGTTTGACCTCCTGAGATCTTATTTAAACACCTTTATATTAATAAATGCTGCTTACGTTCAGAAACTGAATGTAGCATTGAAAAGTAAATACAAGTCAGTTAACATTTAAGTACAAGAGGACCCCACAATAAGCTTCACGTATTTTTATCTGACTCTTCAGAAAATAACATTTTGTATAATACAAGGTGACAAAACGTATTTGATGACACCTCCTGATCTTCCCTTTGGTTTGGAAGCCTTCAATGTAAATTTCATTTTTACTTGCCTTGATTCACCTATCTCAGTTAACTTGCCTGGTATTTGCACATAATCTCATTTGCAGAAAAATTAATTATAGAAGGAAAAGAGGAAGTAGATTTTCAAACAAAAACAGCCACAAACACATTCATGCCTTTCCAGGAAGTGATCAAATATAGGGCTTGATATTTTTTTTTGGTTTTGTATTTTTTGTGTGTTTTTTTATTTGTTTGTTTTGTTTTGCTCTTTTATATATATATTTCTATTTGTATTTCTATTTATATATATTAATATATATAAGGGTACATCAACTCATTTTTAAAAAACGGAAACAACACTCTCCCCGTTTTCATGCCTTCGATCTTCATTCTGTCGTGATCACTCTGTAGAGGTCACTCTTACGTGACTAGCACAACTTTGGGTCTAGAGTGTATTCTGAAGAGCAGTGAATTAAATGTTAAGACAGTTAGACCTACCCCTACCCTCTGCAGAGTTTTATACATCATGCTGCCATTAGAAGGGTAGAGGTGGGGAATGAGGTGGGGACAAGGAAGAGATATCAGGGCTCTGACTGGCAGGGCCCTCCTATGAACAAATGTTCTTCTCTCTTTCTCTCTCTTTTGTTCCCAAACAGCAATGCAATGCTGGCGTTCAGTTGCACTGCTTTCTGAAGGCCGACGTGGCCCAGCTGGTCCTAGGAAGAACCCGAGAGAGGATCCGGTGCTCCTTGTCCCGTCAGATAGATTTGTCCAAGCACCCCAAGGAAATGTTAAAAGCAAAATAAAATTTAAAAAGAAAATTAAAAACCCATCCTAAAACTAAATTAGTGAAGCAAAAAAGGGTTTTCTATCTACACATCAGTCTCTTCTTTAAAAAAAATGTAAATTTACAAATCCAGTGACATATAAAACAAAGTAAAAAAAAAATGTAATGGTAAGAGACATGGTAAAACAGGAAGACACTGATGCTACAAAGAAATTCCAAAAAATATATGTACAAGACCCTGTTTTTCCTCGTGTTCTAGAGATTGTAATGCATGTTTTTAACAGCAGCAGTCGAGGATTTAGTTCCAGGCACTGGACTGCAGATTCCTTTCAAACTCCCAGGGACGGGATGTCCTTTGCTTCTCTGTCACCAAATCACACTGGATATACTGGTCTCCCTTGGCAACAACGGCAGGATGGCACTGTTTGTGTGGGCCTCATCTGGATTCGGCTCCCTGCTCGACTTTGTCTGTGGCCGCTGCCCATTGATGAGTGTCATAGGGATGTTACAGTAGGTATGTTGATTTCCTATGGAGGTAAGTGGCAGGGTGCCTGTAGGAGGTACGTCATACTCATAGCTTCGGTAGTAGTGTTTCTGACGCATTTGTGAATGGTAGGTGTTGTGAAAGGTAGAACGGAGATCTGGATGGGCAGTGGCTAGAGCTGTGGAGGTGGCCGCCACCATTGAAATGGCCGAGACAGTCTGCAGCTCCCCGAAAGGCCCCTGCTCACTGACATCTAAAGCCTGCTCATGTGTAATGGGTTCTATCCTCTTAAAAGGCATTTCGTACTGTAAACGTTTCCAGAACTTCGAGTTCAACTTGTTGCATTTTGGTCCATGCCATTTAATAACCGTCAGGAGCTTGATGGTGTGTTTGAGGGCTTCCACCTCCTGGTAGTTCATAATTCCTCGGAGTTCGCTGCATTCGATCAGTATCACTTTGATTTCTCCAGTCACGAGCATGTTTCGAAGTCTTGTTTCCAACTCAAAGATGCTCCAGCCCCTCCGAACTACATAATTTGGGGTCATGACAATGATCAGCCTCTTACTTTGATCTACACATCTTGCCACATCTTCAATGTATGCTATAAAGAGAAGAAGGATCAGGGTAAGTGAACTGGTAAGAGATCCAAAAGGCTCTGATACTTTCTGCTATATAGTATGTAGAAATTGTTTGTTGTCAACACGTTGTGAAGATGAAAACAGTAGATGGTGAGCAAGCACTTTGGTAGAGTTTTGGCCTCCATTCTAGTAATATTACAGATATTAATTACAGGTGGAAATACCTCATTTGATTTAAATAAATATTAAGGCTCACAGAGTACAATGCTATATAGAATGATAAAATATCTTCTCTGGCATATTAAAAATAAAATTTCATATAAAAAACACTTCTTTCATGAGAAAATAAAACAAAATTTTTTAAGACACAAAATGCTATGTAAAATTGGTGACTACGCAGACATACCAACTTACAACACACACACACACACACACACACACACACAGAAACACACAGATGAAATAAGCAAGTGAAAACATTAACTTACTTCCAGTTGGGATCAAATCTCTATCTGGTATAAACAACTTATACCCATAATGCTTTTCAAGCATATCAGGGAGGATTTCAAGGGCAAAACGTTCTTCTTCCCCAGTCTCTTGATTCCACTGGTCAGGATCCACTTTGGTATATGATAGGTAAGCATCATAATCTTTGTTGTCTGTAAAAACATTAAAAAGTAAGTTCTACCAAGTCAGTTCTAGAAAGAAAATAATTGAATATTAGCAATATTCACTTTTACTAATAAATATTTACAAATATTTCACTCTTGGAAAATAAAAAAAGAAGCCTGTATTAATTTTAATAGTGTGTTCTGCAACTAGATGGAAGGTACAAAGGGACACATTGTGATTTTTGTTGTTATGAAAACATTAGGAAAAAAATCAATGGCAAGAGTCATGAAGGAATAGGGGATAGGGGTGTTGCTCAGTGCTGGAGCTCATAAACTTTTGGCATCACCAGCAGGTGCAGCTACCAGCATGACCAGAAAAAAAAAAGGCAATGAAATACCTATTTCCATAACTTTTTAGATACAAATTATAGGAAATCTTTACTGTTTATATAAAAAGCTACATGTTTTGATAATAGTACTTTACTATTTTATATGCTGCATTTAACAACCCCACCTTTGGATATTTTTTAAGAAGAGGGCTAAAGTCATTTAATTTCAAATTTGATTTTAAAAAATGTTTAAAAGTACTGATTGGGGATACAAGAACCTGTTTCCTTTTTCTTCCTTTTTCCTTTCCTTTTTTTTTTTTTGTTTTTTGAGACAGGGTTTCTCTGTGTTGCTTTGCAGACCAGGCTGGCCTTGAACTCACAGAGATCGGCCTGCCTCTTCCTCCTGAGTGCTGGGATTAAAGGCGTGCACCACCACAGCCAAGCAAAAGCCCATTTCTTATTCTGCAGTTTCAGTCATCAGCTACAATTTTGTATATTGCAGAGATAGAAAACAGCTTGTAGGCACTCTAATATTTTTCATAATCTAAAGTATAGTCATCTAGTTACTCTTTTCATTGTTTTCCTGAGATTCTGGCTGAGATACATCATCAATAAAATGGAAACCAATTAAGAAACCCAACATCTATCTAGTCAGTCAAACAACAGATCCAACAGTTTTCTTCTTTTTATATTGTTGAAATAACCATCATATTTATTATTTCATAAAAATACCTTTTAGAGTAAACTGAGAGTTTATATCCTATGGAATTAAGAAATACAAATTAACTTAAAATACTATTAAGGTTTATTGTGCTCAGCTCCAATTAGTACATCTATAGCATAATCTGTATACCCAAGACTCATGGAACATGACAAAAGAGGGGGGCTGAAAGATCCTATGGGCCAGACTTTGGAAATCAGTATCGTGTTTCCTCAGGAAAATGGGAATCAGTCTACCATAAGATCCAGCAATTCCACTCTTAGGCGAATACCTAATAGAAGCACCTTCATACAACAAGGACATCTGTTCAACTATGTTTATAACAACACTATTTGTAATAGCCAGAACCTGGAAGCAACCTAGATGCCCCTCAACTGAAGAATGGATAGAGAAAATGTGGTTGATTTACACAATGGAGTACTACTCAAAGGAAAAAAAAATAATGGAATCTTGAAATCCACAGCCAAATGGATGGCACTAGTAGAAACCATCCTGAATGAGGGAGGTAACCCAGTCACAAAGAGACAAACATGGTATGTACTCACTCATATATGGATTTTAGACATAGAGCAAAGGATTACCAGCCTACAATCCAAACTGGCAGAGAAGCTAGGAAACGAGGAGAACTCTAAGAGAGACATACATGGTCCCCAGAGAAGAGGAAAGGGACAAGATCTCCTGAGCTAATTGGGAGCATGGGGGGAGGGAAGAGGGAGTTAGGAGAAAGAGAAGGGGAGAAGAGGAGGGGAGAGGAGAAAGACTGAGTCGGGGGAACAACAGAGGAGAACAAGAAAAGAGATATCATAATGGAGGGAGCTATTATAGGTTTAAAGAGAAATCTGGCACTAGGGAAATGTCCAGAGATCTACAAGTTTGACCCTAACTAATAATCTAACCAATAGTCAGAGGCTTCCTTAAATGCCATTCTCTGATAATGAGATTGATGACTACCTTATATGCCATCCTAGAGCCTTCATCCAGTAGCTGATCAGAGCAGAAGCAGACACCCACAGCTAAACACTGAGCTGAATGAACTCTGGAATCCAGATGCAGAGAGGGAGGAGTGATGAGCAAAGAGGTCAAGACCAAGCTGAGGAAACTGACAGAAACAGCTGACCTGAACGGACCCCAGACTGATAGCTGGGAAACCAGCATAGGACTGTTGCAGACCCCCCTGATCTTGGGTGTCATTTAGGAGGCCTGGGAAATCAATGGGGTCTCTGGTAGTGGATCAGTATTTATCCCTAGTATATGAATGGACTTTGAGAGCCCATTCCACATAGAGGGATACTCTTTCAGCCTAGACACACAGGGGAGGGCCTAGGCCCTGCTCCAAATGATATGACAGACTCTGCAGATACCCCATGGAAGGGGATGGCATAAGGGGTCAGTGTGGGCAGGGGAGGAGGGGATGGAGAGGGAACTTGGATTGGCATGTAAAACAAGCTTGTTTCTAATTTAAATTTTTAAAAAATCACAAAAAGAAAAAAAATACATCCTATGGGCCAGAAAACCAGGACACTTGCTACAAGAGTGTTTCTTGTAGACATTAGCAGAGACATTTTACCCATGAAACTCAACAATAAGAGTGCCTAAATGAGACTTGAAAAAAACGACAGGACAATGCTGATGGGAGAATTCCACAGGGTTGCACCCTTACATGAGAAGGTATAAGTAATCAATGTCTGCTACTTTATCCCAAACCAAGTGGTGGTGTGTATCCATCTAAGCTATTTGGAAAGGTAAAGAAGGCTATTTGAGGCCAAGAGTTTCAGATCAGTCTATGTATAACACAGTGAGTACTGTCTCAAGAAACAAAAACCAAACTAAGCAACCAACACTAAATATATTCAAATATCATTATGAAATCTTCATGGGAGAAAGCAAAACTGAAAACATCTCAGAAATAAAAATGCTTAGGGTGTTGACAAATAAATGCATCTTTCTCTTTAACTCATAAGAGGATTTTGGTTTCGGTATTTGTCAGGGCCCATAAAAATATCTTCCTTTCATCTTGGCTTATGATCAGAGAGTTCAAAACTATCCTTACTTTTCCAAGGGTAAAGTCCTAAGACCTAAAGGTCTAAGACATGGCTACTGTAGGATGTTTGGTCTAAGGTGTGGATGTCTTATCTTAGTAGCAAGAGCCTTGGTCTGAGGTGTGGTTGCTCCTAATCTTCAAGGCTAATGAGAGATTTAGTCTAAGGCATGGTTACCAAATGTTTGGAGAATTAAGGAAGAAAGTTTGTTTCTTGTACATGTTTAAAAAAACACACTTTAAAAAAACTGGAAATTGTAAACTGACTTCCATCTTCTGTAGATGAACATAGTACACTAATCTGGGCTAGGAAAGAGATATACTGGCAAGGGAATGGTTTGGGATTAAGAGCTGGGTTTTTGATACTTTTTAACCTTTAAATATCTATCGAGTAGTTGTCAGATGTTATTGGCAACTGCCTTTTTTTATTACTCCCAAGTGTTAATAAGTCATATAAATGAAACTGACTAGTGATAGAGCACATAATTCACAAAATGGGTTACAAAAATAAAACTAGAGGATTCAAAGATGAACATTTAAGAAAGAGATAGCTCAAAAAACTTATAATTAAAAGTTGTCACTGATATAATTTGAGGCATATTTCTTAGATCTCAGTCTTTATTTTCCTATACAGCCTCACATTTCTGAGATGTACTTTGCTCATGTTAAACATTGTAGAACTAAATAATGTCAGTGAAAGGGGTAAACTAAACTAAAATGCTTCACTTCTAGAAATGAAGGGACCAGACCCTCTCTCAGCCATGGCAGGCTACAGAAAAGATGAGTAGGCCTCTGACACAAGGATCCTCTGGCCTCCTGAGCCTAGGGCCAAAACTGAACACAAAGAAACTCCAGACCCCCCCCCCACCAACCTCCTAGGTACTTGGTTCCTGGGAACTGTTTGGCCACAAAAGAAACTCCAGGGGAGACCAAAACCTCCCCTATAGTCTCCAGAATATAGTTCTGAAAACTATTGGTATTTATGAACAACAGACTACCTGCAAGTAACAAGACAAAGCCATAGAAACCACAGAATATTCCCTCTTAGCACTGACCAATGAGAATACATGGTACACAGGTCTTTCATGCCAAAGTATGACTTTGAGAAATTTTCCTGATTATTCCCAAATGTCAACCAATCGGAAACCAACCTATACCTGCTAAAGTAATCCTGTGATTTTGTCTTTAAAACCTACCAGTAGACAGAGAACTTCACCCTCTCTGGAGGCTGCTTTGTCAGCTTGCTAGACGGGGTCTCTACCTCGGTAGGATAGACAATTTAATAAACCTTGTGCATTTGCATCAGTGGTCTGTCTCCCTGGTCTCTTTGGGGATCCTTGTGACTCGGGCACAACAATATTAAATTATTAAATTATAAATTAATGCTCTGACTTGTGTGCATATTGAATATCTGTTGATATTTTTCATTTTGGTGATATTTAAGGGTAAACCAGGAAGTTTGCACATGGTAGGCAATTGCTCTACCTAAATTTAACTTGCTTTTAATTTCAATTCTGTTATGGAAGTTTCTGTAAATTATATTTGCAAAGAAAGCTAACTGAATCAAGCATTTCGACATTTTATGACATTGATCTATCCAGTTTACATGTTTTGCCATTCAATATTTTCCAGACTGTTTTATCTATAGATTCTTAAATATTTAAGTGAAACACTAAGTTAAATAGTTTTTGAGACAGGGCCTTTATATACACACTGGGCTGGCATCAAATTTGCCATTCTCTTACCTTAGCCTAGTGAGTGTTAAGATGATAAGCATTGTATACATGACAGTAATTAAATTATTGTCCTGAGGACGTGGCTCAGAGATTGAAAGTACTTTCCATGCAAGTGTGGAACCTGAGATTGAAACCCAAAAACCCATATATAATCCAAACACAGTAGCAGCAGCATCTGCAATCCCCAGTCTCTTCTGGGTTGATGGTAGTCTGAGGCAAGAGAC